ACGCTGGCTGCTGGCTACACGCGGTAGCCCATGGCAACCCACTGCCACAGGGACTGCAGCCTACGCCGCCGCCGGCGACTCATGGCAGCCCAGCTGCCATGTTCAGCATCTTAGCTGTGGAGGGCAGTGTCACTGGCCCTCCTATGTGGGATCCGAACCGGGGCCCTCTGGCATCCCAAGCGAGTTCTTAACCATCGCACCACTCGGCCGGCCCTAAAAAATTCTTTAAATGGGCAATATAGAACTTGATTCAAAAATTGTAAGATTTGCCAACATTTTGGCATGTATATGTGTGTACACTGGTGACATTTTAAAGTTAAGGATTGAACTATACCATGAGAAAGAAACATGCATAGTTATTAATATGTTTTCACTACAAAGTGTAAGTCTTGTATTTTTTTTCTGAAGAGTGTCACTTTAGTGTATGTGTAAAAATTCTAAAATGTCCTCCATGTTGACATTTTTATTCTATAGTAATGTGATCATTTTATTAATTTGAAATAGGTTTCATTGAGTGAATTTCATCACAATGTTGTATACCTTTTAGGCAAAAATTCCTTCAGCCAGAAGTTTAGACGATATAGCAATGGATTTGACAGAGATGGGAACCCCAAGGATCTCTAAACTGGTGACACTGGAGACCAAAAGTCAGTGTGTCATGGCAAGCAATGGCAGTTTAATCTCCTCAGGTAACATTCTGCGATCAGAGAAAGTGCAAGCAACCTTTAGTTTATTTTACTTTTTGTTGTTGTTGTAAACCATTTTTAAATGCATCTTCTAACTCATTATTTGGGAATAAATAAGCATATCAAAATTTACAGTATGCAGCAGTTTTGAATAAAATCTTTAAACTAATTTCAAAAAGAGTATAAACGTAAATTATAAACAGTCAAGTTGTATAAGACGCAAAGATAGTGAGTGCCTGGGGCAGTAGCTTGAAAGGACATTTTCTCCCCATAAATTGCATCAGCTTCTTCCCCCAATATTTAGTTTTTGACACAGACAGTTGTCTAATTCTCCATTTAATACAAAGTCAAACATAATTACAAGCTTTGAATGTTCTCCCTACTGCCCTCCTCTCACTTCACCCCCTACCCCTGGTCCCATTGCTGTCCCAAGCCCTTCCTCTGTAGAAATTCTGGAATCTTGTATGACTACATTTATGTAACTTCACTAAAATGAATTTTCCCATTTAAATCCCACTGTCAGCTTGTGAACCTAAAGCATAGAATGTTCCTTTGCCTTGCTTGTTTGCTTTCTAAAAGAACATTCTAACAACGATCTCATGGAACATCTAACCTCACCTGCTGAGAAAATTTAAATTTTTCCTCGGGTGTGTCTGAAACATTGAGCATTTTATTACTGCCTCTAAAATGACTGAGCCAAAATGCAATAGGCACATTTTATTACCAGGCTCAGTTTGATGCCCAGAAGCATGAGAAAATGTTCTCCAGTTTCCTTTTATTATGTTCAGAAACAAGGAGAAAAGAAATAAACTACGATTTAATAGCAGGTTTGGCTTAAAAGTCCTTTGTCCTTCAAAGGGGAGGAAGCATTCCTTGTGTAAACCTCGCCTGCCCCACCTGCCAATCCTCACAGGTTCTCAAGACTCAGAAGTTAATGAGGAACAAAAGAGAGAGAAAATCCTTGAACTCAAGAAGAAGGAAAAGCTGTTGCAAGAAAAACTCCTGAAAAAAGTCGAAGAACTTAAGAAGATCTGTTTGCGGGAGGCCGTGAGTGTCTTCTGCTTTTGGCAGGGGCCCTTCAAATTGTGTTTGACAACTCGAGCCGGTGTCAATTATCCCCCTCTCAATTCTGTTCTGTTTTACAGGAGCTCACAGGCAAAATGCCAAAAGAGTATCCACTGAACATAGGTGAGAAACCTCCTCAGGTCAGAAGACGTGTGGGTACTGCCTTCAAATTAGATGACAACTTGCTGCCAAGTGAAGAGGTATGAGCACCAGCTCCCAGCATTCCTATTAACAATGAGACAGAAAAGCTATGTGTTAGTGTTGTTGACTTGTTCCTTTGGTTTTTGTCACTGCTGTCCATTTTTCTCTCACCAGTTGAAAGCGATAATGGAGACCAAATTGAATTCTTTTATGCACAGTTCAATTAAAATTGAGTTATTTCTCGCTACCGTACTTCCCTAAACATAGAGAGCATTCAACAAACCCCAAATATTTATAAATTCTTACATTATAAGAATTAAAAACTCTGGCATTAGACTATTCCACTTAAATCTAAATAGTTGCCTTTACAAATACTTTACCCTCTTTGAAGTCTCATTTCTCAGGTCTGTTTCCTCATCTATAAAATGGGGGTGCAATGATTTTTTTCCCCCTGAGGGACAGAAGTGTATTCAGTCAGATAATACATGGGTATAATAAAGTTAAAAGGTTTCTTAGCCAAAGTAGAACGGACAGACTTTCTCATTTGCATGTCATCAGACAGTGTGATCTTTCTTGTGTTTCTTGTGGAAATTTAGCCATGTCGGCTTTGGAAATGATAGCAGTTTCCATCACTAATAGAGTAAGCTTTGCAGTTTATTGAGTGTTACTGTATTCCCAGCTCTGAACTAAGCAATGCACATATCTTATCTTATTGAATCTTCACCATACTTGTGTAAGGTAGATATTATCTCCATTTTATGAGTAAGAAAAAAAACTGTATCATTAAAAAATTAAGCAGCGTTTCTGGGGTCATGCAGCCAGGAGCCACCAGAAAGAGGAATCGAACCCAAATTTATCTTTCTCTAAAGCTACACACTTGAATATAACATTCTGCACCTATGAATCTTGGGTTAAGAATCCCTTCTTGAAAAATATGATCTTCACCCAACCAACCAAAAGGCCATTTCCTTCTTTGCAAAGGAAAGAAGCCGGACTAATGGCAAGTTTAAGTAAATGGATGAAGGAGGTCTTGTCTTCTAGGAAAGTGTTTGAGGATAACTCTGCAGTAAAACTTAGGAAGATTTTATTTTCAAAGAGCATCTGATTTGAGAATGCACAAGAAATTTGATTTATTATTTAGTGCATGTGAGAATGACTGTATGTGTTCATAAAAATAAAACAATATCATTGTATAAATGCAGGATCCTGCTTTGCAAGAATTGGAGAGTAATTTCCTAATACAGCAAAAGCTGGTTGAAGCTGCAAAGAAACTTGCCAGTGAGCCAGACCTTTGTAAAACCGTGAAGAAAAAACGAAAGCAAGATTACACGGACTCAGTGAAAAAGCTCCAGGAGATTGAAAATGCAATAAATGAATACCGAATAAGATGTGGAAAGAAACCCAGCCAGAAAGGGACAGTGATTTTACCAGGTTAGTAACACATAGTTTGTTGAGTTATGTAGTCAAGACTCCAGATGGCATACAGCATTTCCAAACCAGTTCATTTGGTCAGAGGCTTAAGAACGGGATTAAAAGTAACTTTCTTAGGATAAAAATGGTTTAGAATTTCAGCCTTGTAGTATGTAAACTTGGTTTTCAGTGACATTCTCACTATTGTAATAATACAATACTACAGCATTGCTTTAATTTTCAGGATGAAAGGGCTTTACAGCAATATTGGTTCATAATAAGACAGATTCCCATTTAATTGGCCTAATATCATTACAAGAAATATATTTGACAGCACAGAGTATTAAGAGAGCTGGACCCTACCCAGCAGTTCCCCAAAGGTTTTTTGTGCAGCAAACCATACGGTTTTTTAAGGACCTATTTGACTTATGTGGATATAAAAAAACCTCTTACAATTGCTATCATTTGTGAAAGCTATTTAAAGATATGGGCAAAAAGTTCATGACATAGCGTGAAATACAGAGAAGCAGGATACAAAATTCTAACTACAACCTGATCGCAACATTGTATAAATATGTACACACAAAGACTGGTTGGGAAATATTTTAAAATGCTGATCGTTGTGGAATTTCAAGTAACTTAATTTTCTTCTTAATACCCTTCTGTATTTTCAAAATTCTCAACACTATGTACCTAAGATTTTCATATTCAGAAGAAAAGTAAAGCAAAAAAATCTCATTTAAGTAGATTTCAAGTCCAGTTGGCCCTACATATTTATTAGCACAGTTTTTAACCTTAATAATTGGTTAAAATATAATTATATTTCTTTGATTCCAAGACTTTTTTTCCATATGTAAACATTTGTGAAGTTGGGGTAATTCTTATGACGTTGCAGTTATGATTGGCAGTATTTTTTTCTTTTTTTAATGGGACATAAAATAATTATACATCTTAAATTTGACAAGTATGGTAACTAGGTTTAAGGTCTACTTGGGTTTGGGGCATGTGATTTTGAAATCAGAGATGAGGCTTTTGGAAAGTGAAGGCACAGACATCAACACACAAGTGTTAGGCAGCTGCAGCCGGAGCGTTTAGGATGGCTGTGACTCTGAATGCCAAACCCAGCTGGCCTTGGTGGTGGTTATATTCTGCACTTACAGAGATGGGTGATGAGCCGTGCACTTAACTTTCATAGCCATTTGTTGTGGCCCATTCATCCCCAAACTGTGCAAGATTCAAGTGTTCTCCTTCGCAGTGACTGACAGTTGGGCAGCAGATGGGCCAATGGTTGAGCATGTATACTGGGTAGGTTTTTTCTTAAGTGTGTCAGACAGCTGACTCTGCTGGCACCTAGCCTTCCAGCTCTGCTGTGTGTCCAATTAAGAGACAGTCGGCCTGGCTCTGACAGAGATTACCATTTGAGATGGGGTGAGGGAGATCCCCTTCATAATGGCTTTGAAGCTTCTATTGAGGTGTATTTGCCTGTAATCTGGCCAATACTTGATACTGAGTAAGGAACGTTTTGCCAAAGCAGATCAGCATATCTGTTCTCTCTTTTGACTAAATACATTTTTTTAACCCTTGGTGGGCACCAGTAATACTGAGGGCACTGTAAGCATTTCCAACCACCAGAGTTCTTTCTCCAGTGCACTGTGTCTATGTAAGAAAAGTAACAAGTGTTGCTAATGTGTTTTGGGCATTTGTCCTGTCCCAGGAGCTGGGCTAAAGGCTCTATGTTTATTCTTTCATTTACTGTTCACTTGAGCACTGTTCCCTAGGTACTGTTCTTATCCCTATTTTAAACTTGAACCAAATGATGCTCAGAGAAATTAAGTAATTTACCAACATTTCAACCCATGTCTGTCTAACTCAGCGGTTCTCAACCAGGGGCAATTTTACCCCCCAAGGAACATTTGGCAATATCCACAGACATTTCTGTCAAAACTGCAGGTGGGGGTGCTGTTGACATCCAGTGGGTGGAGGCTGGGGCTCCTACAGTGCGAGAGACAGCACCTCCCAATAAAGAATCATCCAGTCCAAGGTGTCAGTGTCACCCACTGCTCAAAACCGTGAAAGCTTGTGCACCACAAAGTGTCCACACTCTATTAAGAAAAGGCCCCTTTCTTCAGGAGAGGGGTCTAAAAATAAGTTATACTAACAGCAGATTCTCAAATGAGGGTTTGAGTGTATTTTACATAACATTTAGCATTTATGACATGAATGGCATGGGATTTTTTCCAGTCTGTTGGTTGTAAACACTCAATGAATAGGGGTAAAGTTTCCATCCCCTGTAGAATCTAGATTGAAAACTAACTAGCTGAAAACCAAAACTCCCTTGAAGTCTGTTCCATTTTAAGAAATAGTCCGATGTAATATTTATACAGTATGTAAGATGTTTCTATCTTCAGTAGTAACATTCATTCATATAAGAATGAGCCCATTCTTATAATAGCTAATTATTCTTAACGTACTGTAATTAGTTACATTTATCTAAGTCAGATGTACTGCATTAGGATTGCTTTGTTAGCTCACTGTAGGTGTATAAATGCACAATTATACTAAAGTAGTAATTCTAATTCACAGAAGACATAATCCCATCAGAGAGCAGCTCCTTGTCTGACACGACTACCTATGATGATTGTAAGTAGCTCCCATTTTTTGGTTTAAAATATTATATGTTCTGAAATATTAAGATAATTTTTGTAGTTAACGAAAGCCTATTTGTTATTCTTTAGGGAACAGTAAAGTCAATTAACTTACATGTATATGCAGAAAGGTTGGGAAAGAGGAATTACAATTAACTTCTTCACAGGTTAGCATTCAATGCAGTACCATACAAATCACATAACTTTGGGAATCAGAATACCATAACATGAGTAAGTGAGTCTCTCAAGGATTTGTAAGCCGCTGTAGGATTTTTTTAAACTTTTTATCAAAGTAATTATAGACTCACAGGGGATTGCATAAATAATAGAAAGAGTCCTTCACCCAGCTTTTCCCAATGGTGATATTTTATATATTTGGAAACCAGGAAATTACAGTGTAGACTGTGATTTTTCACTGTATTCTGGATAACTGGGGGTTTACCTCCTTTTCCTTAGGAAGAAATACACATTTTAGCAATTGTGTTACATGTCACTGTGTCAGTTTCATAGAGGTAGGCTGTCTCTGTTGTGATGGCCTGTGTTTGTTCAACACATTTCATGACGGAACGGATTTCATATCAGGTGATGGAGTGTTTCCGTGTAATCCCTGTGCTTAAGCAGAGTGGTGGCTATCTATCTGATATGATTTAAATTCGGGAAAGCCACTGACCCCCACTGCTTTATCTTCCCCCAGGTTTTATGGTGCATGAAATTACACCATTTCAGAATCCTTCCTTTGAGCTGAGGTTTGGTCATGCTTGCCGTTCCTCTTTGAAAATCCAAATATCAATGGGAAACAAGTCTCTAATCTCTCAACATAAATCAGTTTCATCATTTTCAATGCCAGGATGAGCCTTTGGGCAGCCAAAGAGGCCTAAGAACTTTCAAAGTGAAGTTGAACGAACACGATCTAGGCCAACTTTTTCTTGGCTCTTTATACACTGGAAGTTTTTTGTAATATAACTTCAGAAAAGCTGTAGTATCACCTATCCCACCTAAGTGATTTCTTTGCTCAGAGTGGCACCTAATGAATTGGCAAAAGTTGGATCAGGCCCCACAAGAGCATACAATAATTTCTATTTTGCAGCATATAAAATATAAAAATAAATTTCCTGAAAGTTGCTTGCTTCTAAAAACATCATCATTGGAAGAACACTTTGTTCACCAGATCTTCTGATTTCTTTTTTGGAGGGTGTTGGCAAGGTATTTATTTACTTATTATTTATTCATTCCATCATTTACTTCTTATAGCCAATGATGCCTTCAGTCTTGCTGGGCAGCGATCAAGTTCAGTACCTCATTCTCCAAGAATTCTTCCCCCCAAGTCTCTTGGTATTGAGCGAATCCATTTCCGAAAGTCGTCCATCAGCGAGCAGTTTGTGGATACCAGGCAGTCCAGGTGAGAAGTCACCTCGTCAGGAAGGCCAGTGCCTTGCAGCTCGCAGATCTTTTCTCCAAGATGGTCGAACCGTTTTTGTATTATTCTATTTATCCTTTCAGAAGGGGCTATTTTGTAAAACCAAAGCACAGAAACTAACCCGGTTATTTGGAGAAACAAGCAGAAGTGTTTTTTAATGCTCTTTTAAAAAACATTTGGCTACTTCCTTGTATTTAAAGTCTGATTTATACTAAATTATAGAGACATTAATTATAATCTGGATTTGGGTATAGTGTCCAAAGCTCTGTTTCATGACCCATGCTCTCAGAAAACTGTCATTAAATACCACTTTACCAAACCAATGACAGGACTGACTTCTGATCCTTCAAATAAAAATGGGACTTCAACTAATTTTAACCTGTAAAATAGATAATATAACTTTTTTCTCAAGTATCTCAGGTAAATGTTATCAGGGCAATAACACCAGATTTTTAAAAGGTGACAGACCAAGCAAAAATTAAATTAAATTAAAAATAAAATAAAGTAAAATAAAAAGATGACAGAGCAGTGATTCCTAAAATTTGGTGGATTAATACTATTTTTTAAAAAAATAGGACCCAAGATAGGATTGCCAACTCTTTTCTTTGCCTAATCAGAATGTTCAAACAAACAGCACCATGATTTCATGGAGGGGGATGGGAGAAGACATTTCAATATCAAAAATACAGTCATCATCATCATCAGATGAAGTTAACATTTATTGAGGACTTACTGTATGCTATTCAGACACTGTTCAAAGTATTTTAATGTATATCAATGAATTTAATCCTCACAAAAATCCTGATAATATTACTACTGTCCTTACCATTTACAGATAAGTACACCAAGGACCAGAAAGCATGAATATCTTGTTTGGTTCAAATAGTAAATGTCAGAATTAGGATTTGAACCTAGGTAGCCTACTCCAAACCCTGTGATGTACGTAATTTTAGTTAATATATTATACTGTGTCTCAGAGAAGATGGGAATTAGTCTCAAAATAAAAGATTACTTAGATTAAATCATTGTTTACTTATGAGAGTAAAGCCAACACTTTGTTATATTTCTAATTTGTCAAAGGCCAGTGAAAACCTTTATCACTATTAGCCCCAGTCTGTGGCTTGGCATTTAAGAACTGTTGCCTTAAACAGCAAACACCCAAGTGTCTAGAGCTGTGCTGTCCAATTTAATGAAAAGTAAATAAAATTAAAAATTCAGTTCCTCGGTCATACTAACCATTTCAAGTGCTTAATAGGCACATGGGGCTAGTGTCTATATTATTGGACAGAACAGATATAGCACACTTCCATCATTGAAGAAAGTCCTATGAGATAGCATGGGACAGGTATATCTATTGAATTGGGGAAAACAAAGCTATTTCAGCAAAAGAAAGAATCACAACTAAGAATCATTTTCTTAAAAAGTGTTATGCCCACATATCCAATAGCTTAGGATGAGTTTGCTATTTGACCCAGCGATTTCACTTACAGGAGTTTTTCCTGTTGAACTAATTACATACAGAATGCTCATTGCAGCACTGTTTATATTACCAGCAAATTGAAAGCAACCCAAATCCTCAACTAGTGTATTGTTTAAATAAATTATGATAAATCCTTATAGTTGAATGCTGCACAGTCATTAAAATAACATTGTTAACAAATATTAAGCAACATGAAACATTAGATATAATTAAAATTTTTAAGTGGATTTTAAAAAAAGAATCACAGTAAGATTTCATTCTTGTCAAAAAGTAGAAATGCTTATAAGTATATATGCTTAGGAAAAATATCTGAAAGCATTTAGCATTGACTGACTATGCCTAAGGTATCAGATCATGGACATTTAAATTTTTCTTTTTTATCTGTATTTTTGAACTTTTCTGCAGTGAATTTGATATGCCTTTGTAATAAGTAAAAAGTTAATCAAAGTCATTTAATTTTAAAATAAACTTCAAGTTGTGCTCTCCCTGTGCTGGGAAGTGGGCAAAGTGGTTTAAGGATGTTGCCTTCCAGTCCAGGGGCCCACAGGCCAAATTCATCCTAACACCTATTTTTATATGGACTGTGAGCTAAGAGTGGTTTTTAAATTTTTAATTAGTTGGAGGGGAAGTCAAAAGCAATAATATTTTGTGATATGAAAATTACACAAAACTTGAATTTTAGTGTCATAGTCAAGTTTTATTGGCACACAGACCACCCCATTCACTTACATATTGTCTACACTACTTTCACACTTAAGGGCAAAGTTTAGTATCTAGAACATACCAGGATATTGAACCACTAAGACACCCTTCCCAGGTTTCTCCCCATGCTTCCTTTCCTTCAGCTTATGATGTTTGCCAGAGATGATGGGAGACTCATCATTTCCTGAATTCTTTTTGCCATCACAGAGAAATGCTGGCCACACACAACAGCCCTTACAAAACCCTGGAGAGGCGGCCCCAGGGAGGACGAAGCATGCCCACCACACCGGTTCTCACCCGAAATGCCTACAGCAGCAGCCACTTAGAGTAAGAGCACTTCATGCCAGTTGCTTTGGCTCTGTTCGTCTTTGCGTTAAGATTCTGTTTTACTTGTTATGTTTTGTAATTATTTTAAGGGACTGTCTGCAGCAGGACTCTATTTTATGGATCTATCTTTTCTGCTCACAATTTCACGTATGTTGGCAAAGAAAATGTAGTTGAAATGTATTTTGTTCGAGTTGATATTAGATTTTTTTCGTACCTTACTTTTTCCAACCATACATTGCCATTCGTTATTCACTGGTGAGGATGAAGATAATGACAATAGCCACATTTTGAAGTATTTATTGAAGGCTGTGCTATTTTATATGCATCATATTATTTAGTCCCCACAACAAGCCTAATTGTAGATATTAGATTCTGGTTTTGTTCTCAATTTACAGAGGAGGAAGTGAGGTTCAGAGAGGTTGATTACCTTGCCCAAGCTCACACAGCTGGGAAATGGCAGGGTTATGACTCACCCAGGTATCTCTGCCGCCAGAGCCCAGGCTTTGTCTACATACCCTCCTATCCTGTTGGAAGAAAGGACCCTCCAAAGACTGTGTTTTTTGTTTTTTGTGTGTGTGTTTTTTTTTCAAGCTTCAATGCCGATTGTGTATCATCAGTTTCTTATTCTCAAGAAAGGAAGTGGATTGCACAATTGAACAGCCTGGTTCTTTTCTCATTTTGACCATGGCAGTGAACTATGAGTAAACAAGTGGATTATGTGAACAAACGGGTTCTGTGGTGCAGTCAGCTTTGGAAACCTTAAAGTCCTATTGCAATTCAGTAGCTATTAAATCCTTCAATATGGTGCTCTTTTTCCTTGTTTTGGTCCTCCTTTCCTTCTTTCTCTTTTACAAGCTTACCTTTCTCCTCTTGCAGACCTGAGTCTTCATCTCAGCACTGCCGCCAGCGGAGTGGAAGCCTCGAGTCCCAGTCCCACCTGCTGTCTGAGATGGACAACGATAAGCCATTTTTCTCCCTTTCCAAATCCCAAAGAAGCAGCAGCACGGAAATCTTGGATGATGGGTCTTCCTATACCAGCCAATCAAGCACGGAATATTATTTCGTAGCGCCCGTCGCCAGCCCCTATTACACCACACAAACCCTGGACACTCGTGCCAGGGGTCGGAGAAGGTCCAAGAAACAGAACGTGTCGACCTCAAATTCAGGAAGCATGCCCAACCTAGCACAAAAAGATAGTTTGAGGAACGGCGTCTACTCCAAGAGTCAGGAGCAGCCTTCCTCCAATTACTATATCTCTGGGTACACGCCGTATGCAGAGTGCGACCTTTATTACAGCAGTGGCTATGTCTACGAGAACGACACTGAGGGACAGTACAGCGTCAATCCTTCCTACCGGTCCTTGGCCCACTACGGGTATGACCGCCAAAGGGATTACAGCAGGTCCTTTCATGAAGACGAAGTCAATCGGGTGCCCCACAACCCGTATGCGACTCTCCGGCTTCCGAGGAAGGCAGGTGCCAAGTCAGAGCACATCACCAAAAACATCCACAAGGCCTTAGTTGCAGAGCACCTACGTGGCTGGTACCAGCGGGCCTCTGGTCAAAAGGAGCAGGGGCACAGCCCACAGACTAGCTTTGACTCGGACAGGGGGTCCCAGAGGTGCCTGGGGTTTGCCGGGCTGCAAGTTCCCTGTTCTCCGAGCAGCCGAGCGTCTTCCTACTCTTCAGGTAAGAATCCTGGGGAGGCACTCGATACCCATGTTTAACTTGCCTCGTGTTCCCCACCCACCCCAAACCACTCCCTCAAGGATCATGGGACCAAAACAAAGTTGGGGCAATGATAGCCATCGGACGGATCCACAGTAACAATTGCCACCTTAAAACAGTTCTCTCCAGCTCTCCAAAGAACACGGTCCACATGAGTCTGATGACCCAAGGTGTAGATTGAAATCCAAGAAACATTTATTGAGCACCTACTCTGTGTGCTGCCCTATGGTAGGGGCTTTCGTGTATTTTATCTTTTCTAGGTCTTCCATGGACAGTCACACCTTTTACATGTGTTCAGATCATTGAGGTCTGATATATTAAAAGAACAGAGTAAACCCTTCAGGTCCAAAGAAAACCCATTATACAGCTTTCCCTGTTCATCCCCCAGAAGTTGATCATCTCAAGGCAGTTTGTTTCAAACGCTCAGGTACCTGCATATGGCTTCTAATAATTGTGATAGGAGCTGGCATTCATTGAGCAGTGCTCCTGGCACTGTTCTAAGTACTTTGCATGTCTGGACTCAACTCAGTAATCATATATACTTCAGTTTATGGTTGAGTTAAGGGATTTTCAAAGATAATTTTACTTGCAGACATTCCCTTCATGCACTGACCTTGACCCCTAACTGCACTAACATTGGTGGAGGACTTACCGCATCCCCCCAGCTGTGCTAAGTACTGTAAGTAGAGAATGGGTGGATGAAAGTATCTGGCTATGGTTTAATTATTCAACAAACAGGCAGGCACGTCCAAGATGCTGAGGAACCAGTGTGGGACCACTTCCTGGCCTCGATGAGCTCAGTCTAGTGAGCAGCCAGAGGAATGTATGGAAATTAAGCAATTTTAAAGCTTCTAAGAATTGAATGAATTCTTGAACTACATGAAAACCTGAGGGCATGAGCCTTGCCCTTCATGTATGACAGCTTAGTGAGACATGCACAGGAATTCCTGAATCATTGTAGATTAGTCAGTGATAACTGTACTTTTACAAGTTTCACAAGCTTGTTGACAAGAGGCATTTCCATGGAGATTTCTATTTGGGTTCAAGTTCTCTTCTGTTATTCAGGACTTCGGACTTCTGCTAGGCTTCCCATCTCATACCACACCTGACATATGAAAAGGCTCCTGTAATCTTTCTTTTTATTTATGGCTCTGATTTAGAGAATGCCTTTCTTCCCCTAAAGGTCAGGGTGTCACATGAGAAACTTTCAAAAACCAAACCTGGGCAGAGTGCTAAAAAGAAAGAACCAAGCAAAGAAGGATTAGATGCATGAGGGTGGTCGTCAGGGCACAGGGCTGGGGTAATTCCTCCTTAAACAGGGAGTCTGGGAAGAAGCAGGTGGAACCCAAGAACAGCATCATTCCTAACCGCTGGCTCAGTATCTGGGGCAAAGGTGAGAATGGCGATAACACTTCCTGATTTGGACCAGGTGTGAGCTGACACCAGCAGGATTTGGCCCCACAGACCAAAGGGCATAATTTTTAAGGAATTAGAGGTATGGAATCAGTGCTCCCAGAATTCCTTTTGGAATTTTTCTCGTTTCTGTCTATATTTTATAGCTACAGAAATGTATTACAACAGGCCTGCATCATTCTCATGGAAAGACAAGTTTCCGATTATTTGCCAAATTAATCAGGGGTTTTGTAGTTCCTTCTAGCCACCTAAAGGCTCTCTCGGTGACTCGGTTTTAGGAGTAATGACAGCCTCCATTTATTGGCAAGTTACCATGTGCCATATGGCATGCTTAGCACTTTATATGCACTCTCCCATTTAATGTATGCAACAGTTCTGTATGTGAGTGTTGTTAGGTTTATTATTATTATCCTAATTTTGCAGCTGAGGCAGTTCTGGCTTAGAAAGTGTACATGACCCTGCCCAAGTCCCAAAGCTAGTAAATGATGGAGTGGGAATTCTATGCCAGCTCTGACATCTTAACTGCCAAGCCTCACAGCCCCTGACTGAGACTGATGAAACATTCTTGGAAGCGCAAAGTGAAAGTGTTCCATCTTTGAGTCAAATCCTGGTGGCATCCAGGGCCACAGATGAGTTTTGAAATGTGTTTCTCCCTCACTGGTCACAAATGCTTTGTGGATGTGAGAGAGAAGAGGAAGAGGAACAGGAAATGGAGGAGAGTTGGCAGGATCTATGAGTAATGCTGGTTACTTGAGTCTTGGATAAACACCATGGCATTGTGGTTGCCTGTGCATCCTAGGCATGGAGCAGGACTGGTTTTCAAGAGAGGACCACAAATGCCCAGTAATAGGGCATTCACTGGGCTTTACTCCCCAATTATGCCCTTGTCTTATTCCAGTCCAGTACCTCAGTACAACTAAATCTATTCTTCCAGAAATCCTTCCTATTCTAGTTATCACCTTTTCCTCCTCTCCACCTGTTTTTTGTAGAGAAATTTTATAAAATTTATTTGAACCAAAAAGAGATACACCTGGAAGCAAGATCACAACAGACTGAGATAAATGCTTCCTCTGTCTTTTTTTAAAGTTAAAAAATCTGTCTTGATCCTCCCTGTGACCGAAGTTGCCTTTGGCTGAGGAACAGTCAAGCAAGTCTCAATGACTCAATTTACAGACTGTTTTTCCTCCAAAGGCCTCCAAGAAACTCAAAGTCATCCCCTTACCTTTACAACTGAAGCTTTGTGTATCCAGTCACCATAGCCCTAATGGGAAGATGTTCTCAATATACGAGGTGTTTTTTTGTTTTTTTTTCTTTCTGGCTTATTTTTTGGGTTATTTTTTTTATAGCATGTCTTTCAATTAACCTTATCCCCATTAATAATAATATTCAGAGTTATCATTTATTGAGTGCTTACTTTGTATCAGGCACAGTACTAAATACTTTCATACATTACCTTATTTAATCCATATATTATCTCTATACAGAATATATTTATATTACCATCCCCACTTTACAGGTGAATAACCTGAGGCTTAAAGAGGATGAGCTATTTGTCCAAGATCACATGGCCAGCAAGGGACCACATTGGAATAGGAACTCTGCTGATTCCAAACCTTGGCTTTTAGCTCTACTTTGCACACAGCTGATTATAATGTGCATCTAAATGGCCTAATTTTCACCTTCAGTATTACCACTAATTTTGTCTATCTTTCCATTTTTATTTCTAGTGTCTTCTACAAATGCTTCTGGGAACTGGAGGACCCAGATAACCATAGGGCTTTCTGAATACGAGATTCCAGCACATTCTTCTTACACCAGCTGCTATGGCAACATCTATAATCCTTTGCCCTCTCCAGGCAGGTGAGGACACAATGCTCAAAAATCCTAGTAGCCTATTCCTGGCAAAAGAATTCAAAAACCCTATTTTATTTTATTTTATTTTATGAATGCTGAGTAATCTAACTCTAAGGTTAGCAAACTATGGCCTACAGGCCAAAACCAGTGGCCATCTGTTTTTGTAAATAAAGTTTTATTGGAAAACAGCCATGCTCATTCATTTATGTATTATCTATGGCTGTTTTTGCACTATGAGGACAGAACGGAGTAGTTGCGACAGAGACCCTAGGACCCACAGGGCCAAAAATATCTGGCCCTTTAAGGAAAAGTTTGTTGATTGATAATCTAACTCATTAAAATTTGACCTGGTTCTTAGGGTTCTGTACCTTAAATTCTGTGTTTGAGGGCTTGTTTTTAATTGTAGTACTTGAAACTGTATTATTGATTTATCTACTTCAGACTTTTCCGGAACCTTGCAGGAAAAATATCTCTACTCTAGAAAAAGCTGTTCATACCAAGATTCCTCATAGACAGTTGGTGGGCTTGATTTCAAACATTTGCTTCCTTTTTGTGTCTGAACCTGTGTTTATTAAGAAGCAACAGCTGCCCTATTTGTAAAAGTAATTTTTTATAAACATTTAGAGGAAATATAGAAGAGTAAATTGTGAAAATGTGATTTTAAAAGACTGCAAACTCTAAATTACATGTTTTTCAATTGTTTGCATACATAGGAGACGTTAGGTTTGATGGGGTCTTTTCTCCTGTCACTTTTTCACAGAATATAATTCACATCCATGGTGCCAAGAAGGAGAGTATTTTCTGGGGGTTTTTAGAAAATTTAATTTTGCTTTCTTTAAATCAGATGCTTCAGGCATAGGAGTCTTACAGAGTATAATTTATAAAGATCTTTATACTGGTGAATTTGAGAGGTTAGTTTCTTATTAAAGCACTCAATATTACAAGCACATTGAAGATATTCATCCCCCAAAGCCTTATTTTTCTTCTCCATATTCAGCAGGAGTTTTTCTTGGCTCGAAATATTAGGCCAATTGTCTCAACTCAACAAAGGGTGCGCTCAAAATAGAATTTTAATGAAAATGTAACTCAGAGGATGTCAGATAGCTTGAATTTCTGTAAATAATGCTTGAGAATTGAGTTAAGAGCAAGAACTAAAATGACTTTGGCCCAGAGTTTGTGCTGAACTTTTTCAGTTCAGTTCTAATAGTTTTGTGTAATTCATTTGCAGATAGTTTTCATGGTTGTATACTTTTACTTTCCTTTTGTTGACTCAGTTAGAAATGACATAAAACATTCAGTGTATAAGACAGTTCTCATAGGATCCTTCACACCACTTTCACTGGACTCAGTAAGTGCTAAACATTTTTAGAGAACATCTGCTTTTTGTGACTCTGCTCATCTATTTCAACCAGCCTAAGATGGCTTCATAGGGGAGTCTGATGTCAGAAGGGCACAATATACAGGAAATTAGAACTATTTAAAGGTACCTATTGTGTATGTTTGCGCTTGCACATAATATGAGCTCATTGTGGAAAATTAAGAAAATAATAAAGGGATAAATAAGTAGGAAATAATTTACCCATAGCGCCACCATCTAGAAATAGCAGCTATTAACATTTTGGCACATTTCCCCCATTTTTCTGGATCCATTTTTAACATGGTCATAATGACATTGTATATACAATTTTACATCCTTCATTTTATATGAAATTCTGCATCCCGGTTTTTTACTTAATACATGTTCTCATATGTTTTAGAAACTGTTTACACCTTATTTTATCTGACCAGTATGATATTTCACTAATAAATACACTGTACTTTATTTAATAGTTCCCCATATTTTGAATTACAATGGTTTTTGGATTTTCTTTTTTTATTGTAAGTAATGCTGCTATTAACATCTTTGTGCAAAATATTTGTCTGAATTCCAGATTATTTCCTCAGGATACAGTCTAATTAGTGGAATTAAAGGATTAAATTGAAAAGTAATTTTTTTAAGCTCTTGCTTTCCAGAAAAACTTGCCAGTTACCCTCCCAGCCACAGAGTTATGGGATTGCTTAATTCCATCCACATGTCTATTTAGGATTTTTTTAAAATTAAGCTATAGTTTGGTCAATTTAACTTTACATATTAATAAAGCAAGTATAATAATCATCATCCAAAATCTTTAGAAATTTTACTCTAAAATTGTATATTATTGATGAAAACATAATTTTTAAAATAAGGGAGAAATTGGATTTCACAATAAAGATGAAAAACTTTAGATCTTCCCTTAAGTTAAAAATTTGAAATGCTTACAATAGATCAGTGATTTTTTTAAAAATAGATGAAGTACATATTATTTAAAGGTCTTTTTTTCCCAGAGTGTTCAGATCATAATACTACAAAAAGCTACACATTTTTACCAATAAAACTGGATTTTCTTAGTACAATGTGGTATAATTGTCAGCAGCATAAACTTGCCAAAATTAGAAGTGTTGAAGTCTCTTATGCTACCCACTATAAGATATAGTCAGTCTTGGGTCTACTGCTGCACACTGTGTTTTCAAATAACTTTTTTTTCTTTCACTTCCTTATCTTACTCTACCTATCACTAGGCAAAACCAAGGGCTTCTGTCCCAGAGAATGGTTCTGTCTCCAGAAATGAAATCAGTTCTAAATTCTCTTTTGCTAAGTGTAGCTGGCAGTAGTAAGTACAGTCCCTCAGATCTGTGTGCTGCTTCTTGCATAGCAGTTCTGCTTGCTGTGACTCATGCGTGAAGTTATGGAAATCTGACTTAGTCCTTATATTAGATGAAAACACTAAATACCTGGATTCATTATTTATTTCCAAAGCTCTTCTTCCAAAGGCTTTTTATCACCTGTACTAAAAGGCATTGAGATTTAAGATAAGAAAACATCTACTAACTACCTAACCTATTCTAACTCACTATTACAAGAATGACATTTTGCTTATTGGAATGGTTTGTGTAATAGGATGCTCTGATTTGGATAGACCATCTAAATATACCTATGCTATTTCCAATTTACACTTGACCCATACACCCTAGGTATCTAAAATAATGTCCCAAGGTGCCCCTGCTTCCCTCTAAATGTATTCCTTTGTCCCTGAGGAAAGCATCTAGTATATTGCCTTAATTGGAAGAATACTTAAAATGTGGCTGTAAGTACCTTTTAAAAAGTTAAAAATATGACTCATGTGAATTGGAAAAGTGGGCATGATTTAAACATTTAACTCATTAATGAGAGAACTCACAGAATGGTAAAGCTGGTGCCAAGAGAATTTAAGGAACTGTATTCAACACACTGAGAGAAAAAAATCCTGGAATGAGATCACTAGATTAGATACAAAACCAGTTAATGTCCTACAGGACAATAAAAATATAACCATAATCTCTCTTACTAGACAGAACTTATTTGCATTTCTTCTAGACAAAAAAATACAAGTTAACGTGTAACTTAACACAATCTGTGTCCTAATCAATGGTAAGTAGGAGTTACACAAAGGTGTATAATTCTGTTGAATTAAATGCTCCTTGCATGGGCCTGTTAGACAATGCTCCAGTGTGACACTGAAAGAACTACAGCCATCCTTTGCCTTATTTCCAAGTTGTGGATAACTTTCTTAACAGTGCTTTCTACTAACTTCTTTGAATGTAGTAATGTTTATACTCTGGGAACAAAAGTGACCACAAGTAGTAACTTTTCTGATTCCCTCCAATAGACAATACACAGAGACCAATCAACTGGACAGTGCAGATGGGAACCGGCTGGAAGACAGCCTGGAGAGAGGTGAGCAGAGACTCTTTTGGCATGAAGACTCCAAGCCTGGAACATTAGTCTGAACTGCAGTCGAACCTCTTGACCAAGCACTGCGTTCTCACACTAGTGTGCCTTGCAAAATGTGTGCGTCTTCCCAGAAGGCTGTTTGGCTTTAGAAACCTAAAGGCATCAAATGTTGAAGAGAGGACTCACATTGCCCCGGAAATGAATCACACACTAAGCTGCACAAACCCTTGAACACAACCTGCCTTTCGGAGTCCAGGCGCTAACCTAACAGAGCAAAGTCAGACCACAGGTTGAACTATTGCCAAGAGAGGACTAAGCCGTTATCAATAGCAAGCACTTTTTAAGGGAATAAAATTTGTCGAAGGCAAACCTCAAAACTATGGAAAGTGCATGGATCTCCAGAGAAAAGAAGGACAGGGGATATACCAGAGCACAATTCAAAATGATGAGAGAAGGGAAACCAGAGCTCCTTAATCAGAAAGTTTAAATGTGTGAGCTGATGAAGAATAATGCTATTTCTACATGGACATGAACAATTTAGACAGTATTGGAAAATTACTTGAAGAGAAGCTGGATTTTCATGAAGTTCTGAATGAGTGTAAATGTTTTTAGGGTGTTATAAAGAGTGATGGTTTTCATAAGCACCATAAAATGGGTTCCAGAAAGACTTATTGCCGTAGCATCCTGTAATATAACTTTATAGTAGCAGATTGGGGAAAATGAAGCAGCCCACTGAATAATTGACACACTCTGTTTGGAGAATTTTCTGAGGTACAATATCATTGAGCTCCTTTTTTCTTTCTATACCAATGGCATGATGAGCTATTATTCAGGCTGGTAACTCTCCAACTTGGCTGTCATTTGAAATGGCAGACTTGATATGGAAAGTTTTATAAAGAGCTTGAAAAAGTATTTTAAGGTGATACAGAAAGAACCCAAAACAAAATTTAAAAAAAAAACCCACATCATTTTAGATGAATTGTGTGCCTTAAAATGGTGGCCATTAGAAAAGTAAGTATAAGTCTGGATTCCACAGTTATTTCTAAGTCACCAAGTGACAAAAACAGGATTAGTTGTTTAAAAAAAAACAAAACCAAACTCCAAGCTGCAGTAGATTTAATTATGAGGCTAAAAACTACCTCATACTTTCCATGGAAGAACTAATTAGCTATGGTCTATGGTTGAGTTTTTGGGGTTTTTTATTAACAAATATTTCCATATTCCAGATTAATCTTTTTTGTCATCTTGACTCTGCTTCAAAATCCCATGAAAGGTGCTCCCTCCCCCCTTTTATACAGGTTTCTTGTCCATATTGTGACTAGAGAAGTTTCTGAACAACTTTTTTGGAACTTTTTCTATCTATATTCCAAAGCATGTAATATATACATAAAACGGATTTGTTAAACTGGTCCTTAGTCATTTGTATCATTAAAAATGAAGTTTGGGGAAAACTTTGGAACAAAAAAAAGACATGCAAAAAAATAACTTATTACTTTTTGCATATTTGTATAGCCTTCTAGAAACAGAAATACTCTTTTGCATATTCTTTTACAATTCTGACTTTTTAAGACCTATTATTTTTTTACATAGGTCAATAAACTAAAGGTGTGCTACTGAAAATGTTTACGTTTTCTTCCATTTATGTTAAGAGTTCATACAAATCAGTTTAAGGTGCTCTTGACTTCAAGTAATCATGTTGGACAAGATTGCAGATTCTTAGTTATACAATAGTATTACCGTATTTTATTGATTCCAAGATGCAAGTTTTTTATGTTTACATCTCTGAAATCAGGGTGCATCTTTTGATTGATGGCATGTTCTAGTTGAATTGGCAGTGTGTCTTTTTCCTTTCTTAGTGATACATAATATAATTCTGTGTCTTACAATAAAGTTGTCTTAGAATTGATGAAATACGGTAGTTTATTGACTCACTGAGGATGACTGATGTGAATTTGTAGGCCTCCTAATCTTCAGAATGCTGTTTATTTGTAACACATAATTCATCCTACTTTTGCAGGTCTTTTAAATTCAAGAAAATATTTCACCTGACGTCTTTTTATCCTGCCCAATGGGGAAAGGGGAGTGGGAAATGAAATGTAGGGAGACCTTAATATTTCCGAGTAAATATCTTACATGGAAGTGACCTTTTCCTGTTCAAGAAATTGTATTCTCATAATTGCAAGTATACTTTGAAAGAATAAGTAGAACTTGGCTCCCAAATGGGAAAAGAAGGTGTAGAAATGGAAACACAGTGGGCCTGCTCTGCGAGTCCCCCCTTATCTTTTTTGAAAAACATCTCTCAACCACTTTATTGTTATGTTTATTAGTAACCAAAAAGTGACAGAGGTATGTTTTTTAACATGAAAATTTCATTTTTTATTATAAAATATACTCGTGGTAAAAATTTTAAATGCAAACACAAAGCAAATATACAACATAAAAGCATGATCTTGCCCTACAAGTCAAATATTATCAGATGTAACAATTAATTTATTGTACACTAGTTCAGATTTTTTTCCATGCATATAGTCTTCTTTTTTAAAATACAGTACCATATTACAAGTACAGTTTTACAACTTTTTTTCATCTAACATCTTGATGTGTTATCAATAAATATTGATCTGCCTCATAAAGATTTGTGTTTTACAAGGTGAATTTAAAAATTGCCTCACCTTCCTTGATGTTTAATTTTCTATATTTGAGAAAATTCTTCACAATTCTTTCGTGTATTTATAAAAGCTTAATATTATGATTAATGTTTCCAGAATTGCTTTTAAATGAGGAATTTGGCCTGTGCTTAGGAACAAAGGGTCAAACTAAAGAATTTCCTCAAATTGAACTTTCAGAACTTTCAGAATTACAGTAGAAAAGTTTAGATTATTTTCTAGAGTGTTGCTTCTCAAACTATCAATGGTGAAAGACTTTTTTTTTAATTTACAACCATTGTGAGCCTATAGTATTTTATAGTAAAATAAAAGTGAATTACTAAGAGAAAAAACTAGTTTTAAAAGATGAATGGCTAGATGAGGGAAAGAAACAGATACAAAAATATCCATTTCTATTTATTATTCGATTCATCAGACATAAAACTACTCTGTTAAGTTGCAATCAAAGTTTCTAAACACGGACTCTCAATTTCTGTACCTACTTTGTCCCAAGTTCCAGTAACACAATTCCTTGACTACCCTTTGCATAGCACTGACCTGGAGTTACATCAAAGGAGGTGCTATATCCATGCTTGTTAATAAGGGAAGTCATTTGTTGTCACCTGTTACCTCACAGGGTGTAGAGACGCAGTCTATTTCCAGAGAGAAAAATCTTAACACATACAAACTTACCTCATCTTTCTCAAAGCTTATCGAGCCCCTTATCTCATGTTTCTCACTCCATTCCTACCCCTTCCTCTGGATTCCCATAGGTCTTTTCCTACCACTCTGCCTTCTCTCCACCCCCATCCTTATGCCACCCTGGAGTGGAGAAAGGAAAAGTACGTTGTGCAGAAATGAGTTCACATTTGTTTAATTATAGCTCGGTGTGTACCAGGCCGCTGTGCAACGCTGAGACATTTGCGTGTTTCATCCCCACAACAGCCCAATGAGGATTATAATGCTATTATTTCCATTTTACAGGTAAAGAATCTGAGAATTAGAAAGGTCAAGTAAATGTCCAAAAATCATTCACCAATTAGGAGAAAAGCAGGAAATAGATCCTGACTTTTCAAACTCCAAATGCTAAGCTACTACCACCTTGTTCTATGAACGATTTCTCTACAGTGAGGGGAGCAAACAGGATTTTTGTAAATGTGTCAATGAAAATTTAAGTGAATACATGCTAAGCTCAGCTTTCCTTGCTCATTACGTCTTAAAGATAATGGATGTAAGTTGCTTCCACTTACCAGTAGCAGGAAGGTCTCAGTCCAAACACAAGTCAAGATCTAGGATACTTATCTAGGATACTCCCTAGTCTTGGATGGCTGCCCAGTGGCCACGTTATTTATTGCTATTGAGCTCATCAGTGGACCAAGAACATTTCTTAAATTGTTTTCTAGTCAATAAAATGTCTCACACCAGTGAATATACTTGTTACAATCACAGATAGCTATAATGAACTAAATATTGATCAGTAGCACTGAAAATACCTACTGACCCATACCCGTTTGTGATTGCTCAGGGCTGTAGGATATTATGAAGTTTCTAGGTTCTTCTACCAATGCCCTGAGGGGTCCTCTCAGAATTCAGCTCTGTCAGATGTATGTGCTGTGGGCTTCACATTTTGATTCACTTTGGAAAGAGTGAATCTGAGATTAATCTCCCATTAGAATTTAAGCCCACTGCCAGAATGTCCTTCTAGCATTTTTATCCTCTTCTACCGTTAATGATTCATTGAAAGAGTCTATCTCCTCTGCAAGAGAAATTAGGAAATATGCACCAAGATTTATGTTGGCAACACTTAACCTGATTCTTAACATTAACACACACATACAAACACATTTTCTCCATTTCTTTTTACATTTGAGTATCAGCAGCCTTGACAGGAACAGTGTACTGGGACCAGAAACAGGTGGAAGTTGGCCTAACTTTGGAGTTTCAGATAATTATCTCTTCTTGAGTGCTTGTAACACTCACGAAAGTACCCACGGTTTAAGAGATCTGTGGTTTTCACCAGGTTTGTACCACCCCCTCTGCGACACTTGGAAATGTGTTACTGGGTTTTGGAGTCTCCCAGTGACTTGGAAGTACTGCTGGCATTTAAGTACCAGGGACATTAAACACCCTGCAAGGCATGAGATGACCCTACATAACACACAGTTGTTCTGCCTCAAGTGACCCACTGAGAAACCCTGGGTGACTTATGCAGAGAGAGGGTTTTGTTAGATTGAACTCTCTGCATGCTGCCTTCCAGAGCTGGAAGCAGGGATTGCTCTATTTTGGAGGGAGATGAGGGGAATTGAAGGAGACAACTGTTTTATGAGGGTGGGGAAGAGACTGTATGTGACTTGAAAAACCACATATCCAACTAATATTTGGACACCACCTGTGTGTCCTTCAGTCACCGTCCTTCCTCCTAGGCAGTGAGGATAGAATGCTTTCCTGAAGCTGACGGTCCAATGAGGGAGAAAGAGAAGCGAACAATTAGGATAACTTAAAGTGATCCCTAGTCCTATGAAAGCCAAGTGAGGTGAGAGAAGAAAGAGGCTATGGATAAGACCTTAGTTGGGTGGGACACATGGGGCTGTTCGGGGCCGTGGTGCTTAAGCCTAGACTTGGGGATTGGTGAGAGAAGAGCCTGTTAAGCAAAAAGGAAAGAAGCTCTCTCAGGGCTAAGAGAGTGGCGTTCTGGCATTTGCCAAGGCCCTAAAGATAGAAGAAGCTTAACCAATTTTAGGAACTAATAGAATAGGTGGCCAGATTGTGCCAGGAGTAAAGAAATACAGAGAATAAGGAAGAAAGGTACATACCATATTTGAACTCTCACCATAGTCCCAACAGTGGAACTAGTGCTATCATACATTACTTCATTTAATCCTCCCTACAACTGTGAGACAAAGGTGGTCCTTACCCCCAGAAAAGGATATAAAGACAGAGGATCAAACAGGTCACCGTGGCCTCAGTTACAGTCACATACCATGCAGGAGGTTGTAAAACTAATATTCAAACCTATATCTGTCTGACTCCAAATCTCATGCTCTTTATTAACCATGACATTATGGAAAAGCGATTGCTCACCCTGCACCCCACTTAAATGGAAACCAAAGAAAATGGAAATGGAAGGGAAGAAGAAAGCAAAAGGGTCAGCCTGGGGATTAAGAAAGAGGGATGGTCAACGGAAAGGCTGGAGATCAGATTGGCCTGGTGAAAATAACCAGGGGAAGGGGCAGCCCAGGGCAGTCTGCGTTGGTGCATTTCCAAGCTGTGCAATTCACACTTCTGGTCAGACTGTGGCTTGAAGACACCCTAATAAAGAGTCAGCTAACAGCCCACCAGGCTGGAATTGCCTTTGCAAAAAGAGTGGAGGCAAAGAGCAAAGGGGTTTGAAGAATGTATTCTATAAAGGCTCCTGATGCAGTGATTAGACTAGCATTGCAGCTTCCCATCTCTGCTCCCTCCCATCACAAACACAACTTTTCCCAGAAAACCATTGCTTATGTTGTCCTGTCCTTATTTTCAGCAGAAAATGGCTCCATAAGGAAAGGAGATCAAAGGTTGGGAAGCCAGAGTGACAAAGATCTCATTAGGGATGCTGACGAGCCAAGACTGGGAAGGGCATTCCCAGCACCCTTCAATTACCATGGAAAGAGCTTTTCTGGGAGCTGATGGTGGGTGTCTGGGCAGACATCACCGGCTTTATAAAGCAGTGGTTAAATGTGTGCACTTTGAAGTTGGGCAGACCTGGAGACAGACTGCCAGGCATGCATGCAGTCAATCCCAGCCTCCTCGCTGCTTGCTGGTTGTATGAGCTAGAGTTCTAACCATCCGTCCCCCCCACCCCACCCCCCTGGGCCTCAGTTTCCTCTCCAATACATCGCATAAGGGTGTTTGGTGGGCTGAACAAGATAATGCACATAAACAGTTCGGCACAACATCTAGTTCCCAGCAGGCGTTTCGTAATATAAATTCTGTCCTGAAAAAAATGTGGCAAGTGATGTTGAATATGAAACAAGAGCTAGAAAGCTGGGATCCTGAGGATTTGCATTGCCTTAGTTTAGCCACTGAAATGACAACACCATTGAAGTAACTCATCATTGTCAAGGGCTGGTTATGTCTTAGGCACTGTCGTGGGCGTTCAGAATTTTTTTTTTCTTATTTAATCCCTACAGCAAGTTTGCAGTTATTAATCCCAAAGGAAAACTGAGAGAGGTGAAGTAGCCCAAGTTACATATCTAAGAAGGTACCCAGGCCTAGCTTG